CGGCAGGAGACGAGTACGGGTCTGGAGACGGGTACAGCAGGACCCTGCCCGGCCATTTAGACTTACCCGAGCTAAGCGAGACACTAGAACCATCTGGGACTAAAGGGTTGGTGGATCTGTTTACTTTTTGTGTCCGTCTAACTTCAGTTAACGCTGTGAACACCAGACCATACGTGAGTCCGTCAACTCGTAACATCAGACGACTTGTATTGTATCGTTTTTTTGTATTTTACGTACTTTCATGAAGGATTGACGAAATGTTTTATTAATGTCGACCCGAAACATTACTGTTGTACGTACGTAATTTGTTAATTACAGACAAGAGGAACTGAGTCCCTGTTTTGAGGTTTAACTTTCAATTAGTATTTTTCTGGTTAACGGTCTAAATGTAAGTTCCATTAGTCTCCATTCAGAGGTTTTAGACTGGCCCGGTTGTGTTATAACGTGTAAGCAAATTCTAGGTAGGTCGTTGTCATTACGGTACAGGCAATTTTTACAGTTTTTATGAACATAACATTACGTAACATAGACACTAAGAACCACTTATTATTCACCGTCAAGTTCTAGTCAGAAGGACCACTAATTTTCCACCTCGTACATCTAGAGGAACCCGTTGTTTGGTAGGTAGCGGACCGTCTGTCTGTCAATTTTCTTCTTGTAGGAATCACTATTGTCTATTTTAGTAAATAATTCTGTTTTGTCGTTACGCAGCGTCGAAGGTCACACGTCAGGTGTCCTCCTACTCGACATGAGTTAGTTAGTACCAGGGGAAGAAACTAATCCGGCAAATGAGTTCCTCTCAAGTCACCTCAATCTCCTTATACACTTCATAGCGACCTCAAGTTTGTTTGAAGTCTCTTTCCATTGGGAACTTAATTCACTTTTTATTTGGGATAAAGTACTGTTAACAATCCCGAAGGATGTTTTTCCGATCATAGCTAAAAAATAGTTATCTGCGGGTAACTCACTTAAAAATTACAAACTCTGATTCTACCGTACAGGTGAAATTTCATTTTTTTCCAAAAATCTACACCGTCGAGGTTACGAATGAAAATGCGATTACAACTGTCTTTTTTTACTGTTCGTTTACGATAGACGGTTTTTTCTTGTACACTATACTATCTTTTTCGATAATTCCCGCAGGAATATCAACTCCCTAGACAAATCATTCGACGGTTTGAGTTCTGCTGGTGAACAATTGTTGAGTTTAGTTCAACAATATTTCTATGTTTCTTTTATGACAAAGACGAGACCAACCAAGGATGATGAGAGTAAGTTGAGACCGACGACACACAAACACGCGGAAAAGTTACGCCAGAAGATTTTTGTGTACAGACTGCTTCTCGAACACTACACACACTGGAACCGTTTCGTAGAGTCAACACTAAGACAAAGCCACCATAAAGGGTTGTATAATTGACTCCATAAAATAAGTCGTAAATTGAGGAACTCACTTGTGGGTGACCGACGTTATGTCTTGCGTTGTTTATTTTTCAACTACTCTCACCGTCCTGAAACACACTACAGCGTCCCAGCAACCCTCCTAAAGTGGGTGACAGTCACTAAGTCACTCGGGTACCCCGGCCAGACGACATTAGACAGGGATTAGCGTCGTCCCAAACCGACGTACTTCTCTCTTTCTCCGTACCTGTCAACGGGTTGTTTTCATTGCCCCTGTATTATTATCAAGACCTCCGTCCGTGAGAAATCCGTAACGTCTGTTTTTCTCTTTAATTGATTATACGACGGTCCCTAAACCGATGTTATGTCGGTCGTTTTGTCGGTAGACTACAAATTCGACATTTTATGCGTTTGTAAAGAATATAAAGATCTAATGTTATTAGTCCGGTAATATGCCTCTGTCCGGGACTATGTGTATAAATATTGTTACTCCTTAATATTCATTCACTGTTACAAATTGTCATTGAACGGTGTCACTTTACCTCTTAAATTACTGGCTCACGCAATCTTCTTCCGTTTAACAGTTCTATAGTAGTGTACAAAATATATACAAAAGTCGTAATTCTAACATGGAAAGAATATAAACTTCGACTTTATTCTGATTTGTCGCCCGTCAATTACACTGATTTGAACCCGGTACCGTCACTAAACACATGGTATAAAGAGCGTTAGACTTGCTTTTTGTGAGTGAATGTTACTTCACATTCACGTTTACCAATTCTTCGACACTTTCGGCACTCCCTGCTCCTTACACGTTCACAGTGAGGAATATGCGAGGCCTGTGCCGACCGAATCATCTCCCTCAGTGGCGTTTGGGCTGTCTGCACCCACACAGTCACACACACACACACACACACACACACACACACACACACACCACACACACACACACACCACACACACAACACACACACACACACACACACACACACATCAGCACCACACACACCACACACACACACCACCACACCGACACAGTCACACACTCAATTCTCTCTTTACACTTTATCGAGAGGGATACTTACACTCTATTTCTTCTCTGCTTTCACTCAAACCATTACTCCTCCGGCTCTCTATACTCCCGTCCGCGTTAGTGACCCTGTTTTAAATCGAGTCCGTCGTGGAGAGAGGGTTGGAGTAGTACGAATGAGTGCGTTTCTTCTTGACTTGTTTAACCGTCACGGTGTAGACTCGTAAAAGGAAGTTCTCAGGTCGCGGTCCAAGGCACCCTCCTTTACTAGACGGAGAGATTTCGTCTCCGTTGTGGGGAGTTCTATGCTATGTGAAGACCGTCCGTTAAGACTGTCGCTGGAGGGACTGGAACTTGGGCCCAATTGTTGCGCGTTAATAAGTTTAATTGGTCGTCAGGTGAATCGTCAGTGGTCGTCCGGACAAACTCCGACACTGTGATTTATTTGTGGACTATTGGAGCACTATTCGTCACAACAGTTTCGGTTTTTTGGGTTGTTATTGACAACAACTGGGGCTTGTTAATTTCCTTAAATGCTTTCTGACGGAAATTCAAATTTACAAATCGGTACAGATTCCGAGGAAGACCTACCTGTAAAAAACGGACTTTTACGTTTAATTACTCGTGACCGTTTACAACCCGTGAAATTACCGTTGATTGTGCCTACGACCACGTAGGTTTGAGACTTAATCTTATAACTTCTAACTTCGACTTCTGACGTCACCTGTTATTTGCCGTCAATACGTGTATTTCCACCAAACAAGTCACACTTGTAAGCAAGTCACTAAACAGACACAGACCAGCACACAAGCTCCTTGTATTATAGATACTTCTAGATTTAGTAGCGAGTATCCGTCGCAAAAAACCCCAGCGTCTATTCTTTAAACAAGAACAAAACTTCAGTCGTCGTTTAACTGTTGGATCGCCGTTCGTTCAACTTAAACGGTAATGTGAAAAGACCTGCTTCGACCTACCCTCACCTTTACGTCTATGTTCGACATCCAATATAAAAAATATAATACTTTAACGTTTATCAACTGAACACATGTCATAAATTCTCGTTTTGTCGGTAATTTCTGTAGTAGAACACGAACTAAGACCTTGGTGTAAATTCTTCCTTTACTGGGAGTATTACCAAAAAATTTTATTTGTGTCGCCGTAATCAACCTTCGCCGTTTTGTTTACATAGTTTAGAAATATGGTGGTTTCTAGTGTTACAGTCCTAGTGTTTGGACGTACTGTAGTTTGAACAATCCGGCAAACTGACGTATGGCTTTAGTCCCGAGTTAACGTAAATACATAATCCGCTCACAGCACAACTACAATCAACTAAAATTTTGTTGTCCAATTAATCAATAACTGGTACTCAGCGATTTTTACTTGGGTCTACTTGACAGCGGTTTGTCAACAGAGATAAAAGTAAAAGAAAGAGTTAAACACACACACACACACACACACACACACACACACACACACACACACACACACACACACACACACACACACACACACACACACACACACACACTGCACACACACACTGCACACACACACTTTAGACAAACACTTCAGTCACAAGGCTGCTCTACAGGCTTTTCCTGTTCACTCTGGATCGCAGTAACTTTATCACACATGTTCTTGCAGGATTAAAGAAAAACAACGGTGTCAAATGTGCTTTAAAGCAGCGGGACAGCAGGGTTTAATCTCCACTGAAGAACGCAAAGAAAAACATCCGTGCATCAACAGTGATGAAGAGGAGGGCGCAGGTTGGGCAATCAGTTTCATGTTTTAACTCAAAGTAAGAATGTGACAGAGCCACATTCTGTCATGCTGCCTCTTCCTCCACACCTGCAGGGACAAAGACATACAGGGACAAAAAAGAAGGTGGACACCCTGACATTACACCCATGAGCTATTGTTGAACACTTAGTTTAAACAAAACGGGTGTTGACCTGCGGCTATGATGAGGTTCTGTGAAGACTGTCCACTGGCTGAAGGGATTAGCTGCCATTTAGCCGCAGGAGCAATGGACAATACGTTCAGATTCCTAGGCTTTATTTTCATAAGCACGATAGATAAGGATTCGTTTTATGGCAATGACGATATTAAGTTTGTCTGTCAATGCAACTATTAAGACATAAAGCAATACAAATGGGGCAAAATGAAACAGAAACAAGAAGAAGAATGATCCAAGTTTTTTGATTGTGTTGATGTTAGGGCTGAGTTTAGGCCAGTTGTTCCACACCAAACGGGGAAAAACATTAAAAACTTTCTGCACAGGAGTTGATACATGTCTTTGAAATAAGAAAACCCTTCCCCGAACCTCTGCACTAGGTTGTAAGCACACTACTGCCTAACACATATCATTACATGCTGTAGAATTGAGATTGTCCTCCACTGGAACTACGTGGCCTAGACATGGTTATCATTTTGGCATTAAAAGACATCCTTAAAATCAATTAGATTAAGATTGAATTCTAGATTAGATTAGAAGAAACATTACATGTGTGTAATGAAGATTAGAGATGTCCGAAAAGGCGTTTTGTGTCTTTAGAGAAAACTATATTCAGTGTAATAATATAAGCAAACAGATTTAGACAGTATGCGCAGACGTACTTATCAAAACATGTTATAAAAAAAGGTTTGTTATGGATCTTTATGGGCCTACATTTCTGTATGGTGAAAGAAAATATATATACATATATATATATATGATACGTATAGATGTTTACTTTAAAGTATTTACTAGCTCACTCAAGGTGTTTGTAGGAAGTAGAATGATGTTATTATAGCACACAAAATATATTATAAAAGTAACCATTGGGCACCATATGATTATTTTATCTTTTCATTCCTTCCCTTTCTTCTAATAGGAGACGGTATAGGAATATTATATGAACTGGAAAATACAATAAGGTAACTGTAAATACTGTAAAGACTATATTTAGTTACAGGCATATTGCAACTGAATTTCAGGAATATTAAAGTCACTTTCTGTAAAAGAGCAAGAAACTGAAACATATATTCTTGACAATTTGCACAGAAAAGTAATTTCTGGACCACATAAGCTTTAAAAAGATCAACAACAACGACAGCAGGAATCCCAAAATGACAGGGGGTTACATAAAACTGTGATATTGTCAAGTTAATTGTAACATAAAACTCACCAGAGAGTAACAGCAGCGCCAGGTACTTTAACCTTTGCCCGGTCAGATCCATCTCTGATCCAAAAATAAAAGCTCAGATTCCTTTCTCGGCTGTAAAACTTTTATAGAGACTTCATGATGATTTCTGCTTTAAGTTCAGACGGGAAGCGTCAGTGATCGCAGCACCTTAAAGTCCTCAGCAGGTGTTTCCTCTTCAAATCACACACATGATGCTTGTAGATAAAAATCCAACACTTGGATTAAGTGCAACTCGTAAAGTGCATTCACTTAATTACAAAGTCTTCTGCCCAGAGGAACAACTCGGCAGATAAATAACAAAATTGTAAGCAGATAAACAGAGAAACTTCTAATTACGTGTAAGCTAATACAGAAAGAAACATAAAGAGTCTATTGACCAAACAGAGAGCTCTTCGTTTGTCACGCACAAGCAGAAGCACCTCCAACAGGTTTGAGCCTCTACCTGTCTGTGCCTACTCCGCCCACTTTTTGATGTAGACACGCCCACTTAATGCTGCGTTCATGTAAGATTGAGAAAGTTGGATTTGTCATTAATTGACATCCTGTTACCTGTTAATAAGTCACCTTTCAATATTTCTACAAAATATAGTGGACACAATGTGCTTTCTTTGATACATCAAACTTCAGGCCTCAGCAGAATGGTTGTTTAGCGGGGTTCAAAGCCAGTGATTAATAGTAGGTTATGACTTGCAGTTTGTTATGCATTGACCTCTTATAATGCTTGAACATGACACACATCTACAATTCCCAGCCATATTATTAATATTATGGTTTGTTTTATATTTAATTGTGTAGTTATGAAGCTTTCATAAACCCATGCTTCCATAATAACAACATAAGAGCACAGAAATCCCTCAAAAGACTTCAGTACACATTTTTCAAAAGGCGGAGTCTTCTACTTTATTATCTACTCCACAGCATTTGTATTGTCCTGTACTTTTAGCTATAATTCATTATTATTATTATTTGTTTCCCCTATTTTTTTGCATCGTTATACATCTCAACACCTCTGTTAATGAGGATGAATCATAATGGTCTTCTAAGGTTACATGAGCAAACATATACTACAGTATTTAAAGTTTAGAAATATAGACATTGATAGTGTTTATTAAATGGTTAAATAAATAACACATCCAGAAAATGATGCGTCATAACACAAGTCTCAATTGTAGAAAACTAAATATCCCAGGAAAACTTGAACGCAGCACTATTTCGTGTGAAATTCCAAATGATCCAGATTTCCCAAAACAACCTGACTAATCTGTGAGTGACGGGAAAATGATCCTCTCGTTTCAGATGTTTATCTGTTGATTTGAACTAATGATAACCTGGAGCTACAATGACAGGCAGCTTAATTCATACTCAAAGATAGATAGAATCAGAGGATGAAACCCTCTTTAATTGTCACACATAAATCCACACAGTGAAATGTGGTCTCTGCATTTAACCCATCCTAGTACTAGGAGCAGTGGGCAGTGTTGTAACCTAAAAATAAAATGGACTGCAATCATAAGGCGCTTTATCCAGTCCTAATGACTCATTAAAGCACTTTAGTAGGCTATACAAGTCAGCATTTCCCCATTCATACAGAAGCAGGGGCTGGCATACAAGGCGTCACCTGTGACCTGCTCAACGAAGCTCACATGTACACATTCACACATCTTTGGGAGCAAGGCATTGAGTATCTTGCCAAAGGATACATCGACAGGGGTATAGGAACCCACAACCTTCCGATTGAAAGACACCTCACAGCCACAGAAGTTCATTTCATATGGTTTATACTCTACCACCCAAAAACTGTATGTACAGCATGTTGAAGTGACACACACCTGCTACAGTCATCCATGTACTCATCCTTATTCATCATCAGTCTAATATTCAAAAAGGATATTGCATTGAATTCTGAAAAGTATAAATCTGATTGAACAGCAGCAGTAAAAACGTGCGCACGCACGCACGCACACACACGCACGCACACACACACACAACCATATGCATTCCTACCTTGCCTCACTAACCCTTTCTGAACACCATTTCACCTAACCCCCCCCCTTCC